TTCCTCAATATTTTCTTCTTGTTTTCTTTTTTTTTTTTTTCACATATATAGTAGTTTTTTTGTATTTTTTTGTTTTTTTATTTTTGTTTTGCTTTGAGATTTTGTTATGTTTTTTTTTTTTTCTGTTGAATAACATTATTGTAACGAAAGGTCGGCTATTGCTTCAATAGATCCACCGGGGAATTTTACTACACATTTATAACATCCGCAATCGCTGGCGTCAAAATCGAAAATGATTAAGCCAGTTCGAGCGCTACGTATCGGTCTTTCGTTCAACAAACGACCGTCTTTATACCATGAAATTTCTGCTGTATCCCATCTAGTAATTCTGAAAAAACATTCAATCAAATAATTGTAATTCATTAATTTCTATGGTTCCTTAACAACAAACTGTTCAGACAACAAAAATAATCAAAAATTTTTTAAAATACAATACGTTGCCAGTATTTTCATTATTATTTTGATTTTTTTCAAATTGATCAAACCGCTTTACCCAGCAATGCAGTTTGCCTTTGAACATTGTAAAAAGTTATAGAGCAAAATTACAAAGCTTGAAACAAATTTTTTCAAGAAAATTTAGGCAACTTTATCATTCACTCTTTTTTTTTTTTGTTTGCTAAATTTGATACTCTGATTTTGAAAAAGTAATTGTAATGCTAAAAAAAAGTCTTGTTTTTATGTAGAATTTTTTGCGAAATACTGTACCCGCAGTAAAGCGGAACAATTGATCGCATTGAGACACGTTGTGGTCTTGGTTTTTCTGTAAATTCAATTGGTACCGTTGCCGATTGCGGTGGACAAATAACACATCGTGCATCTTCAAAAATTGAGATATCCTGAAACAACAGTATATTTACTTGTTTTAAAAAATCGCTGAATTACTCTGTCAAATATCGCTCTAAGATTACCAATGAAAAACCAAGTAAGAAATGGTCTAGAAAACTTGCCATGCCCGGAATATCATAGCATTCTTTGGTTTCCAAGTAGAAATAATGCTTCTGACCACCAGCTACACATTCAAAGTAGCCTGCATCAGTTGTCCGAACATGTATAATGTCCAGTTTTCCTTCCGCATCGTTTACGCAGTACTCTTGAAAGGGGAAAGAGCAGAAGAAGAAGAAGAGTTAAAAATAGTTACAAAATCAAGTTGTCAAATTTCTGCTATTTTTGTCAAACTGAACAAATAATAAAGTTCTATCATAAACAACAAACTATGACATTTTTCCACTTTTTTTTTTTGAAAGAGAATTCCTTACGTTCATTAGTTTCTATTGGGCATGTATCAGGCAGTTTTGCCCAAGTTGTCGGCATTGCCGGGCAATCGCATCGTAAACTGAATGGTTTATTCAAACAAGCGGTTTCTCTAGCTGCATTTTTCAGTTCAGTATCTGAATTTACTTAGCTTGTTCTTAGAATTTTAACATTTTAAACCAGTTTAGGCTAGATCATAATTGCAGACCGAGTTCAAAAGAGACACTTAGTAAGTCAAAAAAACTTACCGAGAAAATAAGCACTAGTAAGCCGAAAGAAGAGGACCAAATATATAATTTCTTGCATTTGAGCTGAAATTTTAATCTTCTTTTTGTTCTGTTATATCTTTGTTGACAAAGTTAAGAAACAACAGCGACAACAACAACAACAACAACAACAACATTTACGACAAAATCAGAACACTAAAAAGTTCTTTGATGAAAATCTTCTTCTTCTACGATAGACAAGCAAAAATATTTATGATTACAGTCATAAGCTTACATTGTCTAGCAATCGAAGTAAAATACAAAATTTTTGCCAATAAATATCATTCAGCTATTCGATCAGACATAAATAATGTGTATATACGTATATCTTTTTTCACCAGACACAATTTTTACGCCTTTTATTTTTAAACTTTCAAATGTTAATCAATGAAAAGCTATAAGAAAAAAAAGTTGAAAGTACATATGAAAATTTTTTTTTTTTTTTTTTTTTTTTTTTTTTTTTT